ACAGATTCTTTTGTTGATTCTGGGAGGAAGAGAATAGTTAAATATGGTGCCAAATTGCCTCCAAACCAGGAAACATCAAGCAACCCAGTCAATGCCTCTCATTCCTGCTAGTCCTGGGGTTTTATAAGTCATCATGCAACTTGCAGGGATTAGTTCCTATCACTTGGTTGAACTCGGCAATAAACCTTCATTCACGCTGACCTCAGTTATTTGAAATTTGGCTTAAAAACTTTAAACAATTTTTTACTCACTGTTTTAGTCTGTTTTCATAGTGCAATAAAGAAACAGCTGAGACTGGGTAATTTATAAAGGAAAGAGCTTTAATTGACCCACAGTTCTGCATGCCTGGGGAGGCCTCAGGAAACTTACAATCATGGTGAAGGGAAAGCAGGCACATCTTACATGGCGGCAGGGGACAGAGAGCGTGGGAAGGAGGAACTGTCAACAGTTTTAAACTCATCAGATCTTGTGAGAACTCATTCACTATCATGAGAACAGCGTGGAATTAACCACCCCCATGATCCAATCACCTCCCACCAGATCGCTCCCTTGACACATGGGGATAAAGGGGATTACAATTCGAGATGAGATCTGGGTGGGGACCCAGAGCCAAACCATATCATTTACCGTTTACCTTCACCAGTCTAAGAAGAGACTGATAAGCAGACTAAGAGCAAAAGAAGACTGTGAGAAAAATGTTTACCTGTTTAAGAAAACAAACTTATCTAGCATCATGAAGCTCACAACACAATATACCAGTGTGATAAATTCTCATTACAAATCATTTTTATCTATTTCTTAAAGCAGATCTGGCAGGACTTCTATTTGGCAAAACAATCAAATTTGTTAAGAATGCAATTTGTACTTTAATGAAGCTGCATTTATTTTAAAATACTAAGGCTGTGATTCAGAATAGCATGTTAAAAATTTTAATGAGTGCTTGAAGTTATTCTGTTGGTAAGGGTGTATGGTATTAAACACCTTAATCCTTAAATACTGATTTCACAGGCACAAACCTCAAATTTTTCAATGTAAAGGAGACTACTCTAGTATTCTCACTCTAAGAGTTGGAATCAGTTAGATTTTTTATCCACTTAAAATAAATTTACATTATACAGAAGAAATACCAAATAATGCTTTGTTTTTCTTAATTGTGACCCTCTTTAAGACAATTCTACATTCACTGATTTAAATGTCCATTATACTGAACCCTAAATGCTCAGTTCTCTCCAGCTCTAATGCAGATTCAACCTTCCAATAATTTCCAATACTCTAGAGATGTTTTAAAAAATTCTAGGGCAAGGCCTTGAAAAATTACCAATTGGGTACAATGTTCACTATCTGTGTAACAATAACACTAAAAGCCCAATCTCCACCAGTATGCAATAAACCCATGTAAAAACACATGCACATGTACCCCTGAATCTAAAATTTAAAAAAGTTTAAATAAATAATTCTATAGTTCCTTAGTTTTTATTACAAAACATGCACTTACCTAAAATGCCCTGTGCACATGAAAATATTTCTATTACTCTTTCCCCCACTACATTCCATCTAGAATACAGTCACAGAAGAATGAAGGGGAGTGAAAGGTAAGAAAAGTGAGATAAGAAAGGGAGGAGGGAAGGGAATGGACAAAAACTAGATGGTCTTTTATCCAACATTTAGCACAGGCACAGAACAATGAGGTTGTCATCACTCTAAACTAATCCACGTTAACTGACTACAAAGATGATAGAACAATGAAATTAATGCATCCATAAAAATGTAGTTCTATAGATGCCAAGATGGGCATTATCCAGAAGTGATTGTAGAAGGACTCTGCCTGTTTCTCAGTAGTGGTTACCCACTGCCTTCAGAACACGTGGTCTTTTTAGTGACTAAATCATATTTCCATGTCAGATAGTGAGATTTGTGTTTCCTCACAAATGTCAGCCTGACCATAAGAACAAGCAGTGAAACTTGTTAAATATAGCAGCTCCCAGTACCAGCCTCAGAACTACTGAGCCAGCATCTTTAAAGGAGAAGAATCTGAACTCGCTAACTGATGGCAAATTCAGGCTGTTGGCTGCTTTTCTTGCCAGGCAGCTTCCTACCAGCTCTTCAAGCAAGTGAGCCGTACGGCCACTCAAACAGCAGCTCTGGATATAGGATTGATGGCTCAAAAAATAAAGTTTAGACAGAGCTATCGAAGCTAATTTAGGAAACACAGTACTAAATTCCAGTAAGGTAAAGAAGGGGGCAAACTGGTAACAGTGGCTATGAAAAATGTTTGTCTAGGCTCAAATATTTAGCCAACACACATTTTAGAAACTCAAAAGTGACATGCAACACAAACCTATGGCTGTACTGTCTAGCACAGCCTGGGGATTATGTGTGTATTCCAAAGTTTCACATCACCATGGGATTTTGAATGTAATTATCACCCAAAACATGGCATGGGTCCCTAAATACATTTATATTCTTGGGTCTCCTGAATAATAATAGTCTGGAATGAAAAAGCATTAAATACCAACAATTCCTTCCTCTACAACACTCAGGGGTGAGAAGGAACGGCCACATCAGATGAAAGAGCAAATAATTACCTTCTAACATACCTCCTGCCATTTTCAATTCACATGTATTAAATACAAATTTTGGTCCAAAAATTGCATCTCTGAAGTGCATCATTTAAAAAATAATATAGGTATACACATACCAGGGATATTAGCCAAGAACTGATTCAGCAGCTGTGTGCTTAAATGATAAGAACAACTCAAGTAAATTCTGAACAGTAAATTCCTCTGAGGCAAACTTCTGATTCTCTCTCTTCCATGTTCTCTTTAAGTGCATTCTGTGCATCATATAGTAGTATATACATCCATAACACTTCATGAATAATACAAAATAAAATGATGCCTGTAGATCCAGGCCTGAAGGGATCAATTCTTAGGCACAATTCCAAAGGTTAATTTTAACCATGTGGAAATTATGTCAAATGCCGTAGAATGTACTGCTGAAATATTCTTAATTCCAAAGCAAAATATATAATCAAAATGTGCAATATAGTTGGCCATTCTGAATGGGTTAAGTGCCAATGACAAGAAACTAATGAATAAAATCTATTCATCTCCATATTTTCTGAAATGTCTAATGTTGTCATCACATTTTGAACAAAAACTAATCAGTTCTCAGTTTCTCAGGATAATGGCATAGGGCAGAGGAAAACAACAGCATGGATACTGCAAGAGAATAAGACATAAAAAGTTATCTGAAATTGTTTTAATGTTCACGTTTCCTTGGGGATTTTCTTCGGAGACTGATTAAGTTGCATTTTTATTAGGCTAGTAATAAAGCTAATTTTATTCTTTAAGTAAAAATGCCTGACAATAGGGAAAGAATATTTAGTCTACATTCAAGTTCCAATTTACTCAAGTAGTAGGACAGACATTTTTAAATGCTGCAAATAGCTAGATAATCCATGAACGGCAGTTTCTTCTTCTGCATAATGAGTACAAAACATTCCAACATACCACAAAAATTATTGAAGATTAATTAAGAATACATTCTATAGCACTTGAGAAATACAGGTTTATACAAAGATACAGAATTGCACTTGCAAATTCACCATGTCTTCTTATGATTGTTGAGCATATAAGTTCCCAATTCCTTGCCGCCCATGATAACAATTAAAAAGGTAACAAGGCTGGGTGCGGTGGCTCACACCTGTAATCCCAACACTTTGAAAGATCAAGGCAGGAGAGTTGCTTGAACTCAGGAGTTTAAGACCAGCCTGAGCAACACATAGTGAAACTCCGTCTCTACAAAAAATGCAAACATTCACCAAGCATGGTGGTGCGTGCCTATAGTCCCAGCCACTTGAGTCTGTGGTGGGAGGATGGCTTGAGCCTGGGAGGGTAAGGCTGCAGTCAGCCATGATCATGCCACTGCACTCCAGCCTGGGTGACAGAGCGAGACCCTGTCTCAAAACAACAACAACAAAAAGTAACAAGATAGGATTTTCTATAGGATTCCTGTCAATTCAAGTCCAGCTAACAACACTCACTAAATAACTAAAATAATTTTTATTCCATGTGATGAGTTAACTCTAACGAAATGCAATTAAAAGAAGGCAAACTGGACTGAAGTAAGAAAGGAAACTGAGAAATCCTGCAATGTTATCATTTAGCAGTAAATCATGGGGAGAAGGGGCAGCAAATACAAAACTAAACAGCAACAATAAGAAAGCCAGACCATGATGGATAATGTTCAGACTGCAATTATTTTTTAATTGTTTGATGGTATTTGTCATTATATCCTGACAACTACATGCATCTGTATTCTTCTAATGAAATATACTCAACAAAGTTTGTTGAGACTAAGGTCATATTTTAAAAACTATCCATAAAAATACATACTAGCAGGTCACATTTGAAAATACTATGTAATCCAGGGAGAAAACTAAGGAGGCCTTTATTTTCATTTCTGAACATCTATATATTGAGTAGTGTCCCATAGGGTAAAACCAGGCAAGGGAAACACTCAGCCTACAAGGGAAATCTAATGGGTTCTTTGCTGTCTGACAGATGAAGACAAGCAGCACTCGAGACCTGAAATCTAAGGTTCATATCATACTGGAAGGAAAAAAAAATAGCAGCTATTAAACCTGTGTAGTACACAAAAAAGAACTCTGAAATATAAACAATAGAAATTTATGTGTTAAAAACATGTGAAGAGTTACCATGACTCATGATATCAATCGAATGAGCACCCTTGAAATCACAGGTTGCTGTATCTTTTTACATTTCTATCATAATGTTAATAGTTAATATTTTTCTGTTGTTGGATAAAAACTATATATTATTTTTAATCACGAAAATCCTCCTGAAAGACTTCTACTTAACAAATATTTTGGGACAAAAGTGTTAAGAATAAAGGTTAGTTTTCTCCCCAGCAAACCTGCAGTGATTCCATAATCTCAGTTATCAAAACCACCTATTTCTCGCTCTCTCACAATTTACCTTTCTTGGATTTGGCTCCAATCTTCAGTTTTGATGGCCAAGCAATCTGTGTATTTGTTTCCTCCATGATCTGTAACCAAAATTGAGAGAAATATTGACTCAATTAAAAACTTGTATTTACAGATAAGATTTTTCACACACACAAAAGTCTATTTTCAAGTTCCTAGCTTCATGTTGATACAAAATGATCTCATTTGAAAACAATGCAAATAAAAAAAAAACCCTTGGGGGGAAAAAGATTTTTTATAAGCCTTTAATCTATTAGAAATATTCAAATATATTTTGTTACTCCCAGTGTTCCTCTCCACGATGCTTCAGAATTTTAACACAAAGACCAAAAAGTACATGAACAAGTAATTAACCCAACTTGATGCCAGAACCATCAGAGATGCTTGTGCTGAATAAAATTCCCCAAGACAATTGCCAAGGGATTGCAACACACCAAACATGATTCCTGTAATACAAAACTGCATGAGTTAGACCATACTAAATGAAGATTTTTTTTCCCTGGGGGAAAAAATAACTTACTTTGGGCACATTTGTATTTCATTAAAACTGATGAAAACCTTCTAAATGCGACATCACGTCGTAAGACTGCATTCCCCATCATCCTTTTCCTGGTTCAGAATGGCATTTTTGCCAAAGGTCCTTCCCACTTGCACATGCAGCTAACACTGGCTAGGAGGTCTCAAGACCTAAATGAGTGGAAGCACCAGGACAAGTGAGGGAAGCAACGACTGCCCAGCAATGGAAATGGACAGTAAACAAGAACAGGATTTAAAACGTGCATCCTTTGTTCCTCACTAATTTTGCATGAATTATACAAAATTAATGTTTGCTCATGTAACACAAACATAGAATTAACCAAACTAATAGGGCAAACTACTAACCAATATGCAAACAGAAAAAAAAAATCATTCATTACTTTAATCACTTGAATTAAACTAGGATAATACTTATCTTTAATATGGATTGAGAGTTCATTAAATAAATTAATGGTGAAAACCACTTAAACACATCAAGAGTGCAATGAATAATAAGTACCTTTTTCTCCTCAGTACTGGCTATGTACCAGGCACAAGGAAATGGTTCACATGTATCATACTTCATTGAACCCCCTTTATCATAATATAAAAGGGCTTCCAGCAGATGTTTCAGACTGTAAGTCCACATATGCATTTTGTCTATTCATTGTAGGGTTTTTTAAAGTTTGAGCCAACATTTTTAAATCTGGGAATTTCATAGAAAAATTCAGATTTCTGGTTCTCTGGAAAAACTTGGCAAATTTAGCACAGACAGCTCACAATCCCACATGGCAATGTTTGGCTGGCACTGAGCAACAGCTGTCCCCTTCAATCAGGGTCAGCAGGCTCTGAGCTGCTCCCAGTCCCTACTGTGTCTCTCTGAGGTCAAAGGCCACTCGCCATCATCATCATGGCATTGTACTGCTCACTTGCCATTTTATCATGGTGTTTGCTGTTTTTCTCAGAGCAATATTTCTCTACACCTATGGCTCTATTAAAAATTGAACAAAAGTAAGGCCACACTGTCTTCACTAAGTCAAGGTACTGGTCTGGCCCTGAAGACAGGTGAGCTCGTTACTTTAACCATACAGCACCTGGCCCCAGCTGCTGCTTCTCTCATTCATGCCTGTCTCTGCTAATGTGTTTAGTTGTTTGCGCCATTAACTTGGTTAGTTAAGTCTAAACCAGTAGTAAAAAATAAAAAATAAAATGTTATTTCTCAACTCCCTCAGTATCAGCCATGATGCCACCCCAACAACACGTCCAGCAGGCTCCCCTTCTGAGCTCCTGCATTCACTGTTATCTCTTCCCCACAATTTCCCATCCCCGCCCCTTCTCATGCTCAGACTTCGGCTGCCATCTTGTCCAACTCCTCATCCTTTTCTACTCTCACACCAACCCAAACACAATTATTCTTCCCACCTCACTGTGTTTATTTCCCTCCTAACTCTTATTGCAAGTGGAAATCCTCTGATTTTCTGTACTTACTTGTTTATAGCCTGTCTTTGCAAAACAAAAACTAAATTCTCTGCCCTGTACACAGCAGGCCCTGGATTTAACTAGTTTCAGAATTTTCCTCTAAGTTACTTTAGACTCTCAAAGAGATAAGATAGAAAAATAAGGCTGCATGCAGTGGCTCATGCCTATAATCCCAGCACTGAGGCAGGAGGACTGCTTGAGGCCAGGAGTTTGAGACCAGCCTGGACAATATAGTGAGACTCTATCTCTACAACAAAAATACAAAAATTAGCTGGGCGTGGTAGCATACACCTGTAGCCCCAGTTACTCAGGAGGCTGAAGCAGGAGGATCACTTGAGCCCAGGAGTTCAAGGGTGCAGTGGGCTGTGATCATGCTACCACATTCCGGCCTGGGCTACAGACTGCGACATTGTTTCTAAAACAACAACAACAAACAGAAAGAAAGAAAAATAAGATCTTACTATAATGTTGCTGTTGGTGGGGAGGCAGTAAGAAAACAACCTACATGCTTTTCCTTTTCTGAATTAAATAATGCTGTTGCTTAATCCAGTAAATGATGTCAAGGGCCATATTATGATACTGTAATAGATATTTCCCTTTTAACGTATGGGTAGAAGGCGTAACTTTCTGAAATCTTAAATCGTTAGTAGAACTGCCCAGAAATCACCCTGCATGTACGCTTATTTTATTAAGCACCAATAGGTGCCCCATGACAGGAAATAATATGCCAGAGAAAACATCCTAAGAGCAGTAAGTAACTGCCATCAAGTTGGGAAGATAGCTTTATACACACTCCCTCTAACTCCCACTACAACTCCCTGTCTATACTGTGCAGAGAAGTGGGCTCACAAAGACCACTCCCAACCTACTCACATCAACACTGTGTTTAAGGGAAAGTGGGGTAATCCCAAGCCTCGAATCCCTAATTCTAACACCAGAGTTCTGTATACTATACCACATGACCTCTAAAGTTCTATGAGCCAGAGTAAATGCCAAACCTCTTAGAGAAAACAAACTGCCAGTAATTAGAACTTGGCATCTGGAGCTGACCTCTCCTATACGACTAGAAAAAAAGTGACTCTCTGGAACACCATTTCTGGCCAGCTAATGCCAACTCCTTGGATCATTCATGAAGCTGCTGGCCCCACACAGAGCTCTGGCCGGATGCCTTTGCAGACATCCTTTATTTGTTCATCACTGTGTGTAATCTAGCCATTATGAGCAAGGACTCCAGAGACAAATACCAGTTCTGCTGCTTCCTAGGGGTGCTGTGTTGAGAGAATTACTTAACTTCTATCAGTCTTAATTTCCTCCTCTGTAAAATTCATTATCATATCTATTTCTAAAGTTGTTGTGAGAACTTAATGAGAAAACTCAAAGCACATAGCATAGCACATAGTGAGTGCTTGATAATATCAGCCCTTGCATTTATGATGATATTGATAAGTTTTGGTCAGACAGGCACAGTCCTAGATGCTAGGGATACAACAGCAAGCGAGATGATTCCTACCTTGCAGGAGCTCAGAATCTAACAAGGGAGAAGACAAGCTAATTGCCATCATGGTACTATGTGCCATGTTTCAGAATGGGGCAGCACAATATGAGCATGTACAGAGGGGATCCTAACCTGGTCATGGGTAGTCAAGGAAAGCTACCTCAAGAAAATGCTTACTAATGCTGTGACCTAAAGGAGGAGAAAAAGTTGGCTCACTGGAGAAAAGGTGAAGAAAGTGTCCCTGGCAGAGGAGAAGGGCATGTGGAAAGGTCTGGAAAAAGAAGAGACGGCTGGTACCTGCAAGGCCCTGAGGGTAATTCAGTGCAGCCGAAGGGCTTCGAGACTCACCCCACACATCCAGGATGGGTAATGTGTCTCCTGTCATCCCCACTGTCCTACGGCTGTGCACACTAATGCCCTTCAAACTGACTTGAATTCGTGACACAAAGAGAAGCCAACAAGTACCTGTGCTTGGCTGACACTCCCTACAAATAAATTCTGGCCAGTGCAGTGATTACACATAGGAAGGGGCCACACTTACTCACTTTCGGGAAGTCAAATTTTTCCTTAGGATGTTATCAATGACGCTTTTAAAACCATCATCTACAATGACTCCAGGTCTATTCTTACAGCTTTGATATGGCACACTATTAATTTGTGATAGCCTCAGCCAGTGATGGAAGTAGTGGAGTGTGAAGCATCTGTCATGGAGGTGGGGGGTGGGGGAGGAAGCACAGGTCTCTACAGGGGGTGTGGGTAGAGGTTGGTTCCAGGAACCCCAGTACTGGAGCTAGGTTACTGGATCTGAGGGCTGACAAGCACATCCCCTGCAGGTGGCATGGGATGGAAGAAGGGGTGCCAAGGCAGGAAGTAAGGCAGTAAGTATCCACAAGTTATGCAAAAATAGGTACTAAATGTTCATCAAGGCAGGTAAATCAGGGAACTGGAAAAGGTAAAGCTAGGAAGATGTGGTTGAAATCAAATAAGCCACAAAACTGCTGAGAAGAAAATGACTATTTCTTTTTCAGGGGAAATAAAAAATTCCAGAGTCAGTTTCAGCTAGTTGGTTTTCGGTCTTTAAAAAAGTCTCATTATTGTCCCTATTTGCACCTTCACAAAACCAAAACTCAAAGAACAAACTACTGATTTTGAATTATTTTCTATAAACATTAAAGTAACATTTTCAAAAACATCATTTAAATAAAGAGATAATTTTATGGATGCTACAATGGACAGAGACACGGACACTTTTTCAAGAGGATATTGTCCATTTCTCACAATTCAATTCCTGAAAAATCTGATAAGAAAATCACTTCCAAGAAACATGTGATATGCTTAAGTAAGTCAACATGTTGTCCAAAATGTTTAGTTTGCTTTCAAGGAATAATTCAATAAGGAATAATTCAGTTAAGCAGATCATTCTGGTCATCCCCCACCCAAAATATGATGCTGATGCCTCCCAGTTGTGTGAAATGATACTTGAAAGTTGGGAAACATGTTTAAAATAATTAGTACTTCCTTATGGAAACAAAACTATCAATATCATGGTATCAGTTAAATTAGGGAATGCCA